TCTATTTCTGTATATGTATCTATACCTATCTCTCTATATAAAAGGCTAATATGCAAAGTGTCCCCTCGGGAGTTCAACCAGGTGATGGGGAGTTTGATTGCTTGCTATCATGTGTGCTGATCACTAGGGGATGGCGTGGAATGAAGGAAGGACCCGGCCAGCATCTGGTAGGCCCTGATTGGCCCTGATTGCTGCAGGCCTCGGGACCTTACCCATGCATGAATTTCATGAACCGGGCCTCTAGTATTTATATAAAGTATTTATATTAATATCACAAGTAGATGAGGTATTAAGGTAGGAACCCATTACAACAAACTCTTCCTAGTTATAAAACTAGTGGTGTGCTCTTAAATGCATTCCTAAAAAGTCTCTTTTTCTAAAAGCCTTGCTTTGTAGCACATACCAATTTTTATAGTATAATTATTCTTATCATGGCTGATTGCAGCCGGCCAACATAATTAGCCAGAAGCCAACAAAAGACAGCATAAAAAAAAAATCAGTTCAAAAAAAAGAAACATCACCAGGCACAGATCATGATGCTAAATAAGTGAATGTTCTACAACATAAAAACATTAAAAATGGGTGGGACTGAAAGCAAAGCCTGGCTCAGAGTAACAGAAGCACGGCGGCTGCCGAAGGTTTCTCTGGCCAGTGGCTCTCCCTCCAGTCTACAGCATGAGGAATATCTTTGCAAACCTCTTCAAAGGACTTTTTGGCAAAAAAGAAATGCGCTTTCTCATGGTGGGCCTGGACGCTGCGGGGAAGACCACCATCCTCTACAAACTGAAACTGGGTGAGATCATGACCACCATCCCCACCATAGGATTCAACGTGGAGACTGTGGAGTATAAGAACAACAGTTTCACTGTGTGGGACGTGGATGGCCAGAACAATATCTGGCCTCTGTGGCACCACTACCTCCAGAACACACAAGGTCTCATCTTTGTGGTTGACACCAATGACCGATAGCATGCGAACAAGGCTCGAGAGAAGCTTATGTAGATGCTGGCAGAGGATGAGCTCAGGGCTGCTGTCCTGCTCGTGTTCGCAAACAAACAGGACCTCCCCAATGTCATGAATGCAGCTGAGATCACAGACAAGCTGGGCCTCCACTCTGCTCCACAGGAACCAGCCCATTGAGGCTACCTGTGCCACCAGTGGGGACGGGCTCTGTGAGGGACTGGACTGGCTGTCCAATCAGCTCCGAAACCAGAAGTGAGCAGAACTCCTCTCTTCCCCCTCATTCCCTCCTTCACCCTGCTTTCCTCTCATGTGGTAGATGTGCCCCTGTGGTGTGAGTGCCAGAAGCTGTGTCCATGGTTGGTCCCACTATGCTTCATCATGCTGTACATGTGCAGACGCAGCCTGCAACTGGGTTTTTATTTAATGTAAATAGTTCTTGTTTCTAATGAGTCAGTTTCTGTACTCCTAAGCAATATTACTTAGATTTTCTTATTGTAAAAAATAAAAATAAAAATAACAGAATCAACCCACTGTTTATACTGAGAAGGGATTTTGGGCACCTAGGGCAGGGGCTCTAGGAGTTGCTGTGAGAGCACCTCAACGCTCCTCCTCAGGGCTTTAAATCTGTGTCGAGATCCATTTTGGTGGTTGGTTTTTAACACAACCTCAGTACATTTTTTATAGTATAAATACAAGGTAAGGAGACACTTTAACACAGAGAAGGGAGAAATGTTCCTAGTGTAGGTTCTGCAGTAACGGCTTGAGTCCAATCTGCCTTGGTCTGTCTGCCATCTGGAGCATGTGCAGTGGGCAGGACCAGCCACAATACATTCTGCATGGTCACTTATGGTCCCTGATTGGCTTTCTCTCGCTGGGTCATCTGCATCCCATAGATTTCATGCTTCTACCTGTGCTTACAACACTGCTTATGGGGGTGGGCTGGGGGCTGCAGCCACCACTCGACCCCTTTGAGGGACCCCAGCCTTCCCTTCGGTCAGTATGGATCAGTGTAGGTGCTTTGGTGGGACCACTCAGGCCAGGACAAGAGGCTGCCATGGTCCCTACACACACTCACTTGCGCCAGGTTGTCTGGGTCTCACCAGTAGGAGTGCAGACATGTGACCAGTCATCCTAGAGCCAGTTCCTCAGAGCCCCCGTCCACATGTGCTTTCACTCCCTCAGCCTGCAAGGGCCAGATTGAGATAAAAAACAACAACCTCTACATTTTTCTTTTGTATTTTGGTAAACACTGAAGAACCTAGAGCTGCTAAAATTTATCTTGGGGAAAATCTCAGAACTGGTTCATCTGGTGTCCTGGAACCTCTTGCTGCTTTCAATACATGAAAAAAAATGTCAAAAATGCATAAGTAAAAAAATAACATATCTCAAAACAGAAAGAGAAAAACCTGCAATTATGATTGTGCAACTTGTTTTGCATAGTATTTTGCGTTATCTTATATGATGAACAAGCAAAAATTATCAATTGGGAATGAAAAATTATTAACAATGCAAGTAGCAAACATGAGCTAGTGCACTTATAACAATGCTTATACATGAGAAGTGAATGCATATTCTAGGAAAGTTATATGGAGGTGTCGACTACACAGTAATTTTAGGAGATCTATCTCCCTATGCTCCTGACTGCAACAAGAGGATTTAGTATTTGCTGCTTAAAGAATTTAACCCTATTGACACACATCACTAGGGCCTGTTTTATATCTCTGTTCCTCAGGCTGTAGATGAAGGGGTTCAGCATGGGGGTAACTACTGTATACATGACTGAAGCAATTATGTCTTTGGAACCCCATGATGAGGAGAAAAAGTTAACACCTGCAGCTGTCCCATAGTATAAAGACACCACAGAGAGATGGGAGCCACAGGTAGAAAAGGTTTTAAAGAGTCTCTTAGCAGAGGGGACCCTCAGCATGATAGTCCCGATACGGATATAAGAGCCCAAAATAACACCAAAAGGCAGGAAGAAAAGCATTCCTGCCTCAGTGAAAATCATTAGCTTATTGAGGGAGACATCAGAGCAGCTCAGCTTCAGGAGCGCTGCAAGGTCACAGTAGAAGTGGGGGATGGTATTGTCTGCAGAGAAGGACAGTCGGACCAAGAGGAGAGTGTGCAACAAATCATGGACACAGGATAGAATCCAGGAGCCAGCCACCAGCAGCACACACAGCCCCTCCCTCATGATGGTGGTGTAGTGTAGGGGCTGACAGATGGCCACGTACCTGTCATATGCCATCACAGCCAGAAGAAAATTGTCAAGACCAGCAAAAAGTATGAAGAAATACAACTGAGAAATGCACCCCACATAGGAGATGGATTGTTGCCGAGTCTGCATGTTCATGAGCATCTTAGGGACAGTGACAGAGGAGAGAGAAATGTCAGAAAAGGCCAAGTGGCTGAGGAAGAAGTACATGGGCGTGTGCAGGCGCGAGTCCAGCCTGATGAGCAGGATGATGAGCAGGTTGCCCAGCACCGTGGTCAGGTACATGCTCAGGAACAGGGTGAAGAACACGCCCTGCTGCCCTGGCGGGATGGGGAGCCCCAGGAGGAGGAACTGGGACACGCTGCTCTGGTTCTCAGGCCTCATGCTGCTCTTCTGTCTGCTGGGGATGAAGAAGGTGTGGGAGTCTCAGGAAATTAAACATGATGACCAGGATCATCACATCTCATACTGTCATTCTGTGGGAAAACCATTTTTAAATAAGTTCATATTAATTTCTCATATCTGTGAATGTATAAAACTTCTCTTCATTGTAGTCTGGCTCCAGGAAAACACTGAACCCCAAAGTAGTAAATAGACATTATCACACAGGAGCATGAGGGGATACACACACACACACACACTGCTGATTTGAGGATTCCAGTCACTGGTGACCACTTTTCCATCCTAATGGACGGATGGTCAGTGTGCGGTTCAGCTAATAAATACTCATATACATACACATAAGTCACAAGTAAAAAACAAAGTGCAACATACACAACACACAATGATGCACCACTCACCCACAAACACACTCTCAATGCACATCAACACAGGTGACTCGTGACACACCTGGAAAACACTCAACTCACCACATATACATAACTCTGCACTATACACCCACATCACCAAAACTCACAAGGCCACAAATAATTCAAAAATCCCACAAGAGCCCTAACCGGTTTGTCTCAGTGGATAGGGCGTCGGCCTGTGGACTAAAAGGTCCCAGGTTCGATTCCGGTCAAGGGCATGTACCTTGGTTGCGGACACATCCCCAGTAGGGGGTGTGCAGGAGGCGGCTGATTGATGTTTCTCTCTCATCGATGTTTCTAACTCTCTATCCCTCTCCCTTCCTCTCTGTAAAAAATCAATAAAAAAATATTTTTAAAAAATCCCACAAGAAACACACACCAGCAACACACATACACACCCAGCCACACTCAGTGCAACAAGCAGCACACACCCTCCTCCTTACCGTCTCCTTCCTGGGGAAGCAGTCAGCATGGAGCAGTTAAGCCTATTCAGTCATAGTCATATCATTAACCCAGTAACAATACCCCATGCATGTGGTCACACACATGATAACAGAGAGAAAACCCAACAACACACCTTCCTGTTCTCACACATGAGTGTGTCCCCTATAAACAGAGCTCACACATGTATCAGCACATGCTGCTGAGCAGAGGTCTGAGCCCTCTCTGAGCTGACCTTTGTTCCTTGTAAGGTCGGCATCTTCCTGTCCAGCAGCAGAGACAACAGTGTCACTCCTGATGCTCAGCTGTGATGACAGTGTTTAAGATCACAGACATGAATCAGGAGTCCCTCACCACACGCCAGGAGGTGACTTGTCTGTTTCTCTGCACACCCTAAACAAGACTGTGGATCAGATACCTAGCAAACACACACGCACAAACACAAATATAAGACAACACGTACCCAAGCATACACAATACATACACACAAACAGTCATGGACACAGGGTTTCATACATGAACCGGCTAGCACACAGGCAGATCCATCACCAAGTGCAGATTTCCAGCTCCTCTCACCTGGGCTCGTCATTGGTGAGGTCAGACACCTTCTGCTCCAGACTGTTGTCCATCTCCTCAGGTTTTCTTCAGGAGACCTAACATCAGACACACAGAAGCATTATCTGGGGCCTTGGCATTTCTACTGAGTTTCCTTTTCCTTAACCAGCTCCAGAGAAATGAGTCCACAGATGACACTTCACTGCTAATGAGAGACTGCAACCAAGTCCCCAAGTTTGTGGCTAATTTCTGACTGCCCTTTGGGGAGCTGAGTGTCCAAGTGCCAGTGGGACTGGGGTCCTAGGGGACAGTGTCCCTAATTCCAGTCATGCCCTGGACTGCTTTGTCCTTGGGCATTGCTACAGCTGGGACAAAGTTTTTTCAACTTTTTATTTTGAAATGATTTCAAAGATATAGAAAAGTTGTGAAAATGGTATCAAGAATTCTTAGACAGGCTTCAGCCAGATTCCCCAATGGTTAACATTTTATGATGTTTACCTTCTATGTGTGTGTGCATTTATACATATATGTTTCAGGCTTTGTTTTCAGCATATATACCACAGTGCATATAATTACAAGGCTTGTGATATTAATTTTTCCAATTACTAGAGTTTTTATCTTTGATCAATTGGTTAAGGTGGTGTCTGCACTAAAATGTTAACATTTTTTAAGTTACTCTTTTAAATTTGTAATTAATAGGTATCATTTGGGTAGTTATTTTGATTCTATAACATTAACATTTTTCTTATTAAAATCTCACTCACTATATTTCACATCCATTGCTGATGCCTACATGGCAAATATGGTGGTCTAACAGTGAGTTTTCTAATTCTATCATTTCTTCTTCCTTTTTAGTTATACTTTTTTTCTTTTTATGCATAAAATGTTAATGTTGACATTATTGCAGACTTGCCCCTTGTCACTTCTCCTCCCTCTTTTTTGCCTTCATTACGCTATTGTTTGTGTCCATGAGGTACGCAAATATGTTCTTTAGCTAATACTTTCAGCTTCTTTATCTGGTCACCCCAAGCCTTCTCCCCTCTGGTTTCTGCCTTTCTGTTCTATGGATCCATGCTTCTGATTCCATCTTGTTCATCAGTTTGTTCATTAGACTCCACATATTAGTGAGATCCTATGGTATGTGTCTTTCTCCGACTTGCTTATTTTGTTAGCATAATACTCTCCAGGTCCATCTATGCTGTTGCAAAAGGTAAGAGTTCCTTCTTTTAGGTCCATCTATGTTGTTGCAACGGGTAAGAGTTCCTTCTTTTATACAGCCATGTAGTGTTCCATTGTGTAAATGTACCACAGCTTTTTAATCCACTCATCTGCTGATGGGCACATGGGCTGTTTTCAGATCTTAACAAATGTGAATAGTGTTGCTATGAATATAGGGGTGCATGTATTCTTTCGGATAGGTGTTTTGGGATTCTTAGGATATATTTCCAGAAGAGGGATCACTGGGTCGAAAGGCAATTCCATTTTTAAATTTTTTTTTAATTTTTTTCCATTTTTAAATTTTTGAGGAAACTCCATGCTGTTGTCCACAGTGGCTGCACCAGTTTGCATTCCCAGCAACAGTGCCCTAGGGTTTCCTTGTCTCCACATCCTTGGTCACAGAAGTAGTGGGTGATGGTATTGTCAGCACAGAAAGACAGTCGGACCAACAGGAGGGTGTGCAAAAGTGCATGGCCACAGGAGAGAACCCAGGAACCAGCCACCAGCAGCAGACATAGCTCCTCCCTCATGATGGTGGTGTAGTGCAGGGTGTGACAGATGGCCACATACCTGTCATATGCCATCACAGCCAGAAGAAAATTGTCAAGACCAGCAAAAAGCATGAAAAAATACAACTGAGTAATGCATCCCCCATAGGAGATGGATTGCTGCCGAGTCTGCATGTTCATGAGCATCTTAGGGACAGTGACAGAGGAGAGAGAAATGTCAGAGAAGGCCAAGTGGCTGAGGAAGAAGTACATGGGCGTGTGCAGGCGAGAGTCCAGCCTGATGAGCAGGATGATGAGCAGGTTGCCCAGCACCGTGGTCAGGTACATGCCCAGGAACAGGGTGAAGAACACGCCCTGCTGCCCTGGCGGGATGGGGAGCCCCAGGAGGAGGAAGTGGGACACGCTGCTCTGGTTCTCAGGCCTCATGCTGCTCCTCTGTCTGCTGGGGATGAAGAAGGGTTGGGAGTCTCAGGACCTAGAAAGGATGAACAGGACATCTCATCTCATACTGTCATTATTGGGAAAACCATTCATTTTAAATACTTTCATATTAATTTCTCACACCTGTGGATGTGTGCATATTCCTTCTATTTCAACCTGACTCCAGGAAAACATTGAATCCCAAAGTAGTCACAAGACTTCATCACATAGAAGAGGGGTTCGCTGTTTATTCAAATATTACTTTTAACATCTTGTCTGTTTCAGGACTGAAATGCAGCAGTGAACAAGAAAAGCAAGGTGCCCACCTCTATGAGTTTACATCTTGATGAGCATAAAGGGATCATTTCTACACCAGGCCAGAGCCAAACTGCCGGGAGCCAGTCCATCCTTGCTGTTTCAAGGGACCTGGCATATATGGCATACTGTTCTTAATATGTTTGCTTACCTACTTGGCACTATGTGTTTTAACCAAGGTCACCTCTCTGAGAAAGGTTGTTTCCCCAGGTAGGGATTTTCCCCTGAAGTTAGGGAGGGAATAAAACCCCTTAACTAAGTGCCAGGCGGGTAATTAATCACTTTAACTACAAACAATCATGCTTAAGCAACAGAATCTTTACTCCCTGGAATGGAGATAAGAAACGCCCTAACCTTTGGAATAGAGATTGATAGGATTGGAATCAACTGGTATAAATACAGATGTAACAAGACAACAGGACACAGAACCTAGACACAGAACCTAGAGACAGAACCTAGAGACAGAACATGGCAAAAGATCCTGGACAGAAACTGGCAACAGAACCTAGAGACAGAACCTAGCGAGAGAACCTGGCTGAAGATCCTAGAGACAGTACCTGGCTACAGAACCTGGATAGAACATGGCAAGAGAACCTGACTAGAACCTGGTGACTGAACCTGGCTGAAGAACCTGGACAGAACCTGGCTGGAGAACCTAGCGAGGGAACATGGCTACAGAACCTGGCTGGAGAACCTGGTTGGAGAACCTGGCTGGAGAACCTAGCAAGAGAACATGGACACAGTTCTTGGCTGGAGATTGTGGCTAGAGATCCTGGCAAGGCTGCTGATCAACTGAACGCTGTCTCTGTGTCATTCCTTCTTCGCCGACTCCATCCACACCTTTGGGGACCCCTGGACCTGCTGGGGTTGGACCCCAGCACCAAACCATAATAATTCACTGTGGCAGGAATTGAAGGAGAGCCCCTGCAAAGTGGTGTTGGTTGTTTCTGCTTGAAAGTAACGTAAGACTCCAGTGCTGAGCGGGCGTTGTTGGAGAATTGTCAGACCTCCAGTGAGATTGCCGGCTCCTATTGACCCTCAGCTGTAAACTCAGGGACACTCTGGAAATGGGTGGCCATTGTAACCCACTTGATGCCAGAATATCTCCAAAACCAGAATGGTTTACAAAGTATCTTTCATAACAATGCTGAACATTTAGATGAACATTTGGGTACCAGGCTAAGGACTTTACCTACATTTCCTAATTAAATTCACATGTCAGCCTTACATTCCCAGATTTAAAAACCTCTTCACAGCTGCTCTAAGAATTTGTATTCTTTGACCTATTTTAGTTTTTAAGAAATAGAAACATAAATGACACAAATTCTGTAGGCACACAGCAGTACAGCAGGGACAGAATGGTGCACAAATATGCGTGTGTATATTAGTATCTATTACATATGTGATATGTAATGTTTATAACTTGATATATATGTATTGCCATTTTCTATAAATTAAAAATCACCAAGTGTTATCTACTTCATGGGTTTCCAGTCTAATATGTCTGTGTGATCAGAACCCATGCTTATAACTGTTACACAGGGAAACTTCCCTTTTCTTGCTTAGGAGCCAAGCACAATATATTATTTTAGAGCTGTGAGGACCCAGAGTTGTGCAAAATTTTTTTCCCCATTACTAGATAATTTTACTCCTTTATATTTATGTGCTATCCAAATGACAAAGAATTCTCAAATACAGGAAGTTCTATTTATGCAATGACTATTTACTGAGAGTGTCTGCAAGATTCACAAAACTAGTGTCATTCTCCATTTTATAGATGTGAAAGTGAGACCAGTGGTTTATATAACTTCCCCAAGATCTCATCGCTATTTAATGGTAATTCTGCCCAATACATTCACACATCATGATGCCTGGAGTTTATGGTTTGTTTGTTTGCTTGCTTGTTTGTTTGTTTCGCTGGGATGTTTAGTAAAAATAAAGAAAAGGTTGGAAACTTCTGAGCAACTCAGTCACACTCAGGTAATGAAAATGATAGCAGATCTATTTCAAGAAACAGGGTGTTGCTTAGAACTTGAGTATCTTAGTAATGGTGCCCAGAAGAAGGACACTTTAGGAAATACTTGAGTCCTGGGTACAGATCACACACACACACACACACACACACACACACACACACACACACACACACTGCTGATTTGGGAATGTAAGTCACCGCTGACCAAATATCCATCGTAAAGGAAGAATAGCCAATATGTGGTTCATCTCATAAACACTCATATGCATACATACAAGTCATAAATAACTCAAAGTTAAACATATACAACATACAATAACTGACCTCTCACCACAAAACACAATCACAATGCACATCAAACCACCTGCCTCATGATGCACCTGGTGAACACTCAACTCACCACATATACATCACTCAAACACTACACACACTCAGCAAAATCACACAAGATCACAAATTCAAAAATCTTACAAGAAACACACAACACATATGCACACCCAGCCACACTCACTACAACAAACAGTATACACTCTCCTATTAATGAGAGTGTATTAATGAGCTTCCCTCCATCTGACCTTCCCCTTGCTGGGGGAGAGCAGTCAGCATAGGGCAGTTAAGCCTATTCAGTCACAGGCACAGTCATTAAACCAACACCAACACCCATGCATATGGTCACACACACATGACCACATACACACAGAGAAAATCCAATAACATAACTTCCAGCTCTCACACATGAGAGCGTCATCCACAGGCACAGCTCACGTGCACCTCAACACACTGCTGAGCAGAGGTCTGAGCTCCCTCTGAGCTGACCTTGGTTCCTTATATGGTGGGCATCTACTTGTCCAGCAGCAGAGACAACCATATCACTCCTGATGCTCAGCTGTGATGCCAATGTTTATGATCACAGACATGAATCAGGAGTCCCAACCACACACCAGGAGGCTGATAACTTGGTCTACATACACTAAAACGAGACTGTGAGTCAGATTCATAGCACATGCACACACAACTATCAAACAGCACATATACAAGCATACACAATACATGCACACCTACAGGGTCATGGACTCAGAGTCTCACACATGAACACACTAGCACACAGGCAGGTCCATCACCAAGTGCAGATTTCCAGCTCCTTTCACCTGGGCTCATTGGTGAGGTCAGACACCTTGTGCTCCAGATTATCACCCATCTCCTCAGGTTTTCTTCAGGAGACCTAACATCAGACACACAGAAGCAGTATCTGGGGACTTGGCACTTCTACAGACTTTCCTTAACCAACCCCAGAGAAATGAGTCCACAGATGACACTTAACTACTAATGAGAGACTACAGCCAAGTCCCCGAGCTTGTGGCTGCTTTCTGACTGCCCTTTGGGGAGCTGTGTGTCCAAGATCAAGAGGGACTGGCATCCTAGGGACAGTGTCCCTGATTCCAGTCATGCCCTAGACTGCTTGGTTCTTGGGCATTGCTCCAGCTGGGATGAAAGATTTTTCAACTTTCTATTTTAAATGATTTTAAAGTTATAGAAAAGTTGTAATAATGATATTAAGAATTCCTGGTCAATCTTCAGCCAATTCCCCAATGTTTAACATTCTACTATGTTTACCTTCTCTGTGTGTATATGTTTATATGTATGTATGTTTGTGTGTATATTTCAGGCTTATATTTTTAGCTGATATACCACAGTGCATATTATCAGAAGGCATATGATAAAGATTCCAAGGCTAGTGTTTTTATCCTTTTTAAACAAATTTTCAAAAAAAATGTTATTGTTGAAAGTATTACATATGTCCCCTTTTTTTCCCGATTAACGCTTCTTTCCTGCCCCCACTCCCTACCCCAGACGTCACCATACTAATATCTGGTCCATTGATTGTGCGGATATGCATACAAGTTCTTTGGTTGATCTCTTCCCATCCACCCTCCCATGCCTACCTTCCATCTGAGATTCAACAGTATGTTCCATGCTTCTATGTCCCTGGATCTATTTTGTTCATCAGATTTCCACACATAAGTGAGATCATGTGATACTTGTCTTTGTCTGACTGTCTTTTTGCTTAGTATAATACTCTGCAGGTCCCTTCATGCTGTCTCAGAAGGTAAAAAATCCTTTTTTACTGCTTTGTAGTATTCCATGGTGTAAATGTATCACCGCTTTTTTATCCATCCATCTACTGGTGGGCACTTGGGCTATTTCTGGATCTTAGCTATTGTGAAATGCGCTGCTGTGAACATAGGGGTGCATATATTCTTTCTGATTGGTGTTTTGGGATTTTTTGGATATATTCCTAGAAGTGGAATCACGGGGCCAAATGGCAGTTCCATATTTAATTTTTTTGAGCAAACTTCATGTTGTTTTCCATAACGGCTACACCAATCTGCATTCCCACCAGCAGTGGATTAGGGTTTCCTATTCTCCACATCCTCGCCTGCACTTGTCATTTGTTGACATATTGATGTCATTCTGATAGGTACAAGGTGATACCTTATTGTAGTTTGAATTTAAATCTCATCTCTCTGATGATCATTGACTTTGAGCATTTCTTCATATGTCTCTAGGCTATCTGTGTGTCCTCTTTGGAAAAGTGTCTATTTAGGTCTTTCGCCCATTTTTAATTGGATTGTTTGTCTTCCTTTTGTTTAATTGTATGAGTTCCTTATATTTTTTGGATATTAATCCTTTATCAGATGTATCATTGGCAAATATGT